CTGTCCCTGGGCTTGTCCTGAGTGCCATTTTCCATTCTGCAGTGGCAGTGATCCCCTGCCCTGGGGATCCATCCAGGCTATGGCCACCAGCAAGCCCCGGAGCCACGCAGAACTTCTGCTGCTGAGTGCCCCCTGAGGGCACATCACAGCCACCAGCAGCTGCTCCAGCTGTCCCCAGTGCCAGCAGAGCCTTTTCACATCCCAGCAGGGCAGGGCAGGGCAGGGGGTCCCACTCCCACTCTGGTTTGTGTGAAGCAAGCCTGGCTGGTGGGTTCAGCCCCTCTGGGCTTTTGTGCCAACCTCGCTCCTGTCCTGCGGTGCCAGCATCACTTGGAGGACAGAGAGCAATGCCTCAGGCAAAGGGATGCTCAAAGGGAAAGCTCTGTGTCCTTCTGAGCCCCCTCCAGGTGTTCACAGCTTTAGCCACAGGCTGAACATGTGAAGAATAAGAAATGTTTGTGTTTTACCTCTCTAAACTGTCCATCCCCCGAGGCAGCTCTTGGCCAGAGCCCTGCCCGTGCCCTGCCTGTCCCCTGTGCCTTTCCCTGTGCCTTTCCCTTTGTCATTGTTCCTGCACTGGGAACCCCAGAGGGAGTCCTGCTTTCTTTGAAAGCTGTCAGATTCCACTTCCTGAGCACTAATTAACTGTGTTTATTGTCAGAAATAAACTGGGGAAATCTTTTTTCCTCCCACAAGTGCAGTCAGAGATGATATCTGCCAAGCAAAGAAGGAAATTACTTTAGAAATTAATTACAAAGGGTATAAGCAATGGGAAATGTGCCAGTCCCTCCCTCCCCACTCTTGTTATGAAGAAGCTTGATAGCTCTGATCTCAACACATTCTCAGACACATTTTGACTATTAAGAGTGCAAATAATCAGTTTTATGTTGTAATTGGGGAGGTCAGTTATGAAGAAGCAATATTTTATTTAGATGCCATAAATTAAACTTTTTAAAATTGGTGGTCATGTTCACACACAGGCTTAGGAGATGTGAAAGTTTGTAATTCTCCATTTCCATGTTTTCCATACCAATATACATGATCTGAAGTGAGGTATAGGGCACAAGAAACAAAAGGTAATTTTGGAAGGTTATCGGAAGTGGATTAGCTTGTTCCAGGGTCCTTAATAGTTCTGACATCAGTTGCATATTGAAGGGGAAAATATTTTCGTTTGCTTTACCTGAACACCATTATAAGTAATAAACATGCAAGAAAAACGTCGCTGTAGCTCTTCCCTACAAATCCACAATCACAAGGTGCATTGAATCAGTGGCCTCTAATCAGGGTGTGTTAGTTTGGGTGTTAAATGTTCATTTCCTCAATTACTAAAACAACAGAGCCAGGTAAACTCCCTTAATAGCCAACACCAAAACAGAATCAAGCACCACGCTCTGAAGTTATTTAGCAGCCATCAGCAGAAGGATTTGAACCACTGTTTGCCTACAGTCCTGCACCTCAGAATAGCTAAAAGACAATATTATTCAGGTTTGGAGGTTTCCACTGAATGGGGCAGGAGCTGAAGGCCATATCAGGAGCCCATGTGGAGGCTCCAGCCCAGGTGTCCTGAGCTGTATCGGCTGCCCAGCCCAGGCAGGAGCTGAGCTGCTCCTGAGAGGTGGACCTGACACTTCATTAGTGGTGAGGGGAAGCTGTGTCACCGAACCATGAGCTCTGCTCCGTCCACCTTGCAGAGGGAAGGGGCTGTGTTGTGTTTCCAGGAGTTAGCACCCTGGGCAGTGCTGTGATTTCAGGAGTTAGCACCCTGGGCAGTGCTGTGTTTTCAGGAGTTAGCACCCTGCACATGGACACACTCCCCGGTTCCTCTTCAGTTCAGACTGGGGTTACCACCGTGCTGTTGGCAGAGTGGCATTTTCAAGCTGGGATATACATTTTCTTACAGTGACCTGTTGATGCTGCATCATAACAAACATAAATTAATAGAGGGACTCAAGTGTCAGTTCTGCTTCCAGGCTGGGTGAGCAAGGCTGCTCTGCCAAATCCCCATCTCTGTGACAGGGTTGCCATTTCCTCTTCCTGCCACTGAACTGTTGCATTAACCCCAATCATCGGTACATATTAGTCAGTCATCTGTGACATTTTGCACCAAGCAAGGCTGCAGGTCCTGCCTGTTGGAAGTTTTTAATTAAATAAAGCTGCCTGCTGGGTGCAGAGGGACAGGGGGAGAGAAGGCAGAACTCAAAGGGGAGATGAAAGCCACTGCCTCTGCCCACACCGGGCTGTGGGCAGGACTTCTGCTCCTCTTGGACCTTTCCTTCAGAGAGGCCTTTGTGTTTCAAATGGCCTCTCATCTGAAATTACAGCACATAGTTTGTGCTCCTGCTCCAAGTCCTTCTGGAAAATACTGGCTGTAGCACCTGAATAGACCCCATATGAGAGCTGGCAGAGCAAACCTTGTCAGTGGGAGAAATAAACCTGTGCTGAGCTCCAAATGTACCAGGCAAAACACATTGTCAGGTCAAGGTCAGCCTTGAAACTGGACTGGTAATACTCTTCTTTGAGATCTCAGAGTTCCTGAACCTGGAGCTGGGAGTGAGAGGGAAGAGATCTGGTCTCTAACAGCCTTCAACAACCTTCCTGTCCAACTGATCCATCATTTATAACCCTGCAGATGTCTGGAACAAGGCATGTGCCCGGCCAGCACAGCAGGGGGGAGGTTCAGTGTTAAATATCAGGGTGGAGAAGGTGCAGCAGCAGCAGCTGCCTTTCCCTTTCCCTTTCCCTTTCCCATTCCCATTCCCATTCCCCTGCTGGGCAGGGCTGGAGCTCTGTGCCTGCAGCACAGCGTGGGAAGCAAAATGCCAGCAGGGCAGGGGCTGTGCTGCCCTTGGCCCTTCACGGCCTGACCATGCTGAGCCTCCAGAAGCTGTAATTAATTAATGCTTGCTGCTTTCCCAGGGATGCACTTTGCCTACTGCTAACTGTGCTTTTTAGCTGCATTCTCTCCCTTCTCTCCTATTAATTCCTGTGCCACTCAGCATCTGCGTTTTGGATAAAGCTTTCAGGGCAGCCAGTGGCTGCTGCTGGCCCTGCTCTCTCCACCTTTAATGAAATGCACTGAGTGTGCTGGGTGCCCACTTTTTCCTCAAAGAGAGACTTCAGCCTCACAGGAACTCGGGAATAGCCCTGAGTAACACAGCCCAGTAAAAATGGTTGGCTTCTTCCTAATGTCTGAATGGCAGAATTTCTTTTTCTATCTCGATCTGTTTAGTAGGGAAAAGGAGCATTTTAATGCCACAGAGCTGGTTTTGACACAAACAAGAGCTGTTTTTCACAAAAGCACAGAAATAGCCCCAAACTTCAAATCCAAGTAATGAATCTTCATAGCAAATAGAAAGGAAATTTCAAAGAACCTTATTTGTAAATTCATTCAGTCAATAGTTTTAATTAGCAAGCATGTATAGTAATCCTAACCTGGGTGTGATCAATACAGTCAGAAGCAGCCATTTAGTGGAGGGGTGTCTAAAGGAGAAAGAAGAATGTGAATAATCTGAGCATTGTACAAGTACAGAAGAGCAGAGTAGCTCTGACCATGAGGGGCACAGGAGGTTGGCACCAGCTCATGGCAAGGAGGACAAGATGTGGCTTGGCTTGGCTGGGCTTTGCTGTGAGAGGTGATTGGGAACTGAGTGATGGGTGGGTTGGACACTGCTCTGAGGGTCCCTGTGAAAGAGCACAGAGCCACTGAAGTGCTCCACAAGCCATCATAAACCCCTGAAATTCCTCTGTTTCCCCCCATGAGTTTTGCATTGCTGGAGAAGGAAACCCTGACAGGCAAGAGCTTGGTGAAAGAGGGGCTCCGCCCTTGGGTGTCCTGACCTACTGCTGGGCTTCTCTGTGCCTCGCTTGATTAAGAGGCTTTTAAGAGCTTCCAGCTATTTTCCATGTACTCCAGCAGAAAGAACTGGGCTCCCACTCGCTTTTCTTTGAGCAGCAGCTGAGAGGAAAATGCACATTCCCCACCTGTCACCTCAAACGCAGACGATTCACCCCAATTTACCTGCATAAAGATGGGGGATTAGAAGAAGCAGCTAAATAATTCCTCCTTTAGGCTTTTCTGAGGGTCTGGGTTGTGGTGAACTGCAATGTGTAAGCTCTGTTGAAAGGAACCATTTACTGCTGTTTGTTTCACTGAAGGCAGTGGTTGGTGAGGCCCTTTGGAGTGATCCTGCTGCTGGAACAGGACTCTGTGTGGGAATTCTGCAATGCTTGCAGGGATGCTGGGTGTGCTGCCTCCTGTGACAGAGCTGCTCAAATCTGGCCCTGCTGGGTCCTGAAGTCTTCTAGAGCTGCCTCTGAGAGGGTCTGGCTGCTGCAGGTGGGAAAAGCCCTTTGGAGCCTGTGGCTACTCCAGAATTCCAGGGAAACCTCTGAGTTTCTGGGTCTGAGCTCCCCTGCTTTGGTGCCTTGCTGGGTGTGAACTCAAACTGGGAGCACCTCCTCAGGTGTGGAGTGGGAAATTAAATTGCCTAGTGCCATTGTGTCCAGAAGATTTATTGCCTCTACTGCAAGTCTAAATCCTGCTGATTTAGAGGCTGAAGCTGAGCACAGGAGTATCTCAAACAAATACCCTCACAATACAGAATTACAGGGTTAGGAGTATTTTCCAGCTGGGCACTGTGGTTAGTGCTGTAGCTGCAATACTTCACCTGGAATCGCTGACCATTCATTGAATAGGAGGAGGCACAGGGGTGTAGGGGCAAGTTTTATTTACTAGCAACAAATTCATTCTCTTCTGCCCTCACAAAGAGCTGCTAAAATCTGCTGCGAGTGAAGGGGAGATAACACGGATACAGTCTTTTCTCGACATAAAAACCCTAAAAAAGGCGCTTTGTGTTGTAAGGGGGGCTGACCTTTCCCCACCACAAAACTCCCCCGTTGCTCTCCGGGCAGCATCCCCGCGGACCCGCCCGCTGCCCGAAGAGCGGCGGTGGGAGGAGGAGGAGGAGGAGGAGGAGGGGAAGGAGGAGGAGGAGGGGGAGTCCCGGCGGCGGGATGAGGCCGGGCTGAGCGATGTGCGAGCAGGCAGCGCGCTACTGCCGGGCCGGGGTGCAGAAGCTGCTGCGGAAGCCGGCGCCGGCGCTGCGCGGGCTGGACGGGCTGCTGCGCTGGGCGGCCGCCAGGATGGGCGACAAGGGCCTGGCCGAGAGGGAGCTGCTGGCGCCGGGAGCCACCGCCGCCCAGAGGAAGGGCACCTCCGTCATCCTCGATGTGAGTGCTCCCTGCATGCCTGCATCCCGGCTCCTGCCTGCCCCTGGCAGCGGGGATGTTCCCCGGCTCCTGCCTCGGGATGTTCCCGCAGCCCGGCTCCTGCCTCCCCTCAGGAACGGGGATGTTCCCCCGCTCCCGCGCTGCCCGGCTCGGCAATCCCTGGGGCTGGGTGGGCGTGTGGGTCCCACAGCCTCCTGCCCGTGTCCCGCAGCCGCTCGGATCGCGGTTGTTTCCCAACTCCAGCATCTCCCGGAGCAGCAGCTGAGCAGGGTTTGCAGCCCGGCTCTCCGCTCACCTGGATCCTGCAGGGCGGGCGGCTCGGCAGCAGGGCTGTTCCCCGCATCCTCGGCCGGCTGGGACGGGGTGGGAATGAGTATGGGATGGGCAGGGGATGCAGCCCAGCTCCGGCATCTCCCGGGCTCGCTGGGTGTAGGGGTGCTCAGATTTAACAACTTCTTCCCAGATCGGTGCCGCTGGGCTGCCCAGGCTATGGGGCTGCAGCCTGGGTCCTGTCCCGGTGCTGCACCGCCCGGGCTGTCGGGGTGGCTCGGGTCCCCTGTCCCCCTGCCCTGCCCTGCGCTCCCTGGGACAGCTGGGAAAAGCTGCGCCTTGGTTCTGCGTCTGCTGGAGCGGGCTGGGCACGGGGTGCGGTGTGGATACTGCTCTCCTCTCCTGAGCCCATAGCATTTTTTACCGGAGGGGCACGGAGGTGTAGCTTGTGTCCTTCTCCTTGGCAGGGCTCTGAACTCTCGGGGCTGGCTGGGCTTTGGGGTGCCCCGTTCCCTGCACCCTCTGGATGGGCTGGGTGTGGGTGTGCACCCCGGTTCTGCAGCCTTTCCCCAGGTCCTGCATCTGAGGATGCACTGTAGGTGTTTAATCCTGGCTGGGGGACTGGCGGGGATGTGCTCAGTGCCTCGATTGCTGTATTTATAGACCTCCTGATTAGGGAGCTACCGAGGCTGTTTGCGCTTAAATGAATTGGGAGAGTGGGGTGGAATCAGCCGGAGTGCAAATGGTGTAATTACAGTCTTTCTGCTGCATCCAGTAATTAAACACATGGATCCTCTGTTTTGCTATCTCCTAGCCTTAAAAAAAAAAAAAAAAAAAAAAAAAAATTCAAAAAGAAGTAATGAATGCAAAATAAACTACTGAAGCATTGGCTGTAGTAATTGGCTGTAGTAAAGGATAACTCATGGTCTCCTCAGAGATAGGATAGGCAGTAGTAGCTCTTCAAGGCAAGCCCTTACACTCTGTAAATAATTTGCTGAACCCGTGAACCCGTAGGCATTGGCGTGGGCTGGAGAGTCTGAAACTCTTCCACCTCTGAGCACCCTGAGCTGGGAGGCACTGAGGTTCCCTGAGGAACCGTTGTCTCTAATTGCCAAAAGCAGCTCAGAGAGCAGGATGGATGGATGGATGGGTGATGCTGCCCGTGTTAGGGGCCGGCAGGTGGGCAGCTGCAGCCTGGGGGAGTGAGCATCTGGGGAAACAAGTGCAACTCACACCCTTATGTCTTTGAAATTAACTTGTTCAGGAGGGAATTCCTGGGATTTTTTTCTATATTTTTATTGTTTTGGCTTGTTTTGTTTTTTAATCTGTCCTGAAATTGCCAAAATCTTACAATAATTTGGAATCTGAGTTTCAGAGCACAAATGCAATTAGGAAGCAACATTAAATTTATCTAAGAGGTTTCTTGAGTTAGGAGTGTTTTGCCACCAAAATGGTGTCTTATCCATTCAATTTTACCATCTTTAAGTGATTTTTTTTTTCCACTTTGAGCTTTGAGATTAGGAAAAGAGTCATGAACTTTCAGAATGGGTAACACAGTAGAGCATTGTATTATTTCAGTGGGAAGTACAATAGAGCTGGGTGTGCAGCTCCTAATCATTTTTCCCTTTCGCAATGGTACTGGGAGCCCTTTCTCACCTGCTGAAAGTAGAAATGGATTCTGGAAATGTAAGATTTGAGAGCTTAGGGATTTTTTCCCCCTCCTTCCTTAGAACTTGATTTTCTCCTTTTTCTCCAGGCACAATAGCAAAGGCAATTGAAGCTGTGGCTTCGCTGTAATGGGCTCTTCAAGTGCACTGCAGACCCCCCCTTTCATACAAAGGGTTTCAACAGGGAACACCTATCTAGCTTAATTTTCACACATTAGCATGAAAGTAACAAGCATCCCACTGAACGCTCAGGGATGATAACCTGTTTTCCATTCAACTCCTTCACATTTTTGCTGATGGATGTGCTGGGGAAGCAGCAGTCCCAGCTATGCAGGAGAGCACCTTCTCCATGGGGGAGGAAGAAGGAAAAGACCTGTAAGGTTTTATGTTTAACTAACAGGTTTCCATGAGCTGGTGTGCTATGTGGGCAGTTTCTTGGGGGCTGGAGGAGGAGGGGAAAGCTTGGGCTTGGTTATGAATTAGGTAAAATGGCTTTGACACTAATAATACCTTAGTCACTTCTTCCTCTTCTGGCTTTCTTTTAATTCATCCATCCCCAGTGTTCTTGTTCTGACTCCTCCATGAGGGTGTCTGGTGTGTCAGAACAAACTTTCCTGGGCTCTTCCCACCAAAGAAACACAACTGTGCTGATGTGGGTCAAAACTGAGGCTGAGGAGGAACAAAACACAAGGGGCTGAGATGTCTCCTGCCATCAGCCTGGCTACTGCCACTGGAGGATTAGTCTTGGCTTTGGGCTGGCTTCTGTGCTTTTTTTTTACTTTGCCTCAGGCCTTTTAGGTAAAGGATTAAAAAAGATTGAATAGTGTTTACTAGTTCAGCATGAATGAATGAATGGTCAGTTCTTACATTGGACAATTCATCACAAGGGGTTGAGATTGAGCCAGGGGTCTGTACCCACCCTGTGCCCACCCTCAGGTGCCTTCTCTGGGTCTGCTCCAGCTGCAGGAGCCCAAGGCTCAGGGCTGGGCAATGTGCAGCAGGAATTCCCACTCTCAGCACAGGCTGTGGATGGACACAGGATGTCTGGGGCTTTCTGCACCCACAAGCACAAACCCCTGTATGAAACACTGTCACAGAGCTGCTCCAACCCACATGAGGAGATGGTGGCATTTCCAGTCATGAACAAATCCTCAATGCCACAATGCTTGTGGAAAGGAGGATATACTATGTGGGTGTATATTCTCTGAGAGCCAAAGTGAGATTGCATTCACTGAGTGTGAATGAGTGCACGTGCACACAGAGCTGAGGAGGATGGCCCTGGAGGCACAGGCCATGTCCAGGCAGGTGCTGCTCTCTCTCTGGGAGTGCCTCAGAGCTGGCTGATCTACTGCCCTTGCTCATCCCCTCCTGCCTTCCTGTCACTGCCAAAGCCTGAGCTGGCAGCAGAGGTGGGAACCCCAGAGCACCTGAGGCAGGTCAGTCACAGCAGCTGCAGCTGCTCCATCTGGTTCACAGCTCATCTCCTGCTTGGCATCTAAAATGAGGATCAGCCTTGGTTATGAATGAGCATCCCCATGGCAGGACTGTGAGCCCCAGGCAGCACTGGCCTCCCTACCTCCTTTCTTGCCAATGCATTGATTTTTGGCTTTATTTTAAACACTCCTGAAGAACACAGTTCCATTCATTTCAGGTCAGGTGAAGCTTTCTGTTTTGTCTACCCTGTTGTTTGCTGAAAACTAATTTCAACCCTTATCTGATTTTTATTCTTTGACAGAAAGATAATTTCAAATCCATCTCTCATTCTTATGGCTCCTATTGCAACCTCACTTATGTGGCCAACTCTGGTTTGTGCTTCTTCAGCCCCATGGGATTGGGTGAGGTGTCTAGATAGAAAATACAGAGAATTTGGGTTGTGCCAATGGTGCATTTCCTAATGTACATCCAGAACTGCCATTTCCAGCCATTCTGTCAATGCCATGATTTCCAGGGCAGCCCTCAACAGCAAGGCTCTTTCAGCCATAAGAATCCCAGGAATCCCTTCTCACTCCTCTTCTGTTTTGACCTTTTTCCTTCTGTTTTCATTTTGTTTGTTGGATTTCTTTTTCAAGGTTGCTTCAGTCCCCTTCCCTTGTCCTTGTTTACTTCCTCACTGTGAGTGAGCTGGGAGGGCTCTTTTCCTGCTCCTTTATCCTCCCTTTGTGAAATCCATGGTTTGACATCTTCCCTTGAGCTGTGCCTGCAGGCACAGCTGGAGAGGAGGGCCAGGGCAGGCCAGGCTCTCTTCCTACAGGAACTGCTCACTGCCAGCTACAGGATCACACAGGAGAGCCCATCCCTCTCCTCTGATCTCCAGCCTTTGCAAGTGGGTGCTTGAAATGCAGCTGAACAGAAAAGTAACTTCTAGTGCTGAGCATCACCAGGTCAGAACATCAGCTGCAGCTCTCACCTCTCTCATGAAACTTTAATTTAGGACAGCCAGGTGAAGTCTAAAGAGAGGTAAGAGTGAAAGCACGGGTTGGGACATGGTGTCAGCTGCTCTTCTCTCGGGGAGGAAGGGAAAAAGAAAAAAGATCTGCTTTGAAGTGGGAAAATGCCCAGAGACCTGGAGCTCTGCACAGCCTTGTTTTGTGGGGAGCCAGTGCAGATGGAACAGTATTTCTACACCAATGGCATATTCCTTACTGAAACACAAAATGAAACCTTTCTCCTTGCATGGGGAACACTCAACCTGGGGATGTCTAAGGACATAGTCTATAGTGACAAAGCTTCAGGTCATTATTTTCCCACATTTTCACCAGAAAGAGCAACAGTGAGAGGCTGCAGGAGAGGAGAGTCCTACTGGTGCCTCAAGTTTGAGAAATAAAGGCCATACCTGATATAAAACCTTGTCTCAACCCCAAAGGAAGTGTCAAGACTTGTAGGGAGAGGAACAGAAAGCCAGAACAGGAATGCAGGACCATAGTATGAGGATCAACAATATTTTTAGGTCTGTGTGGGTCTCTGGATGCCTTCTCATCCATAGGCTTTCCTCATGCATGAGACATGATTATGTTTGTCTTCTATTCTGCACCCAGATTATGATGGAAAACAGAATTTCAGCTCAGCTGCTTTCTATTTTATATCAACATCTTATTCACCTGGTGAAGGGATTATAAACTCCACAAACCTTTAATAATTCTTGGGCTTCTTAGGGGAGTGCTATTGTGAATTTAATAAAATTCGTGAGAAACCCTTCATTAAGAAGCCTCCAGTGTGGCATGTTCTCATCCAGGAGCTTTGAGAAGGCAGATATAAATGTTTAAATTTGAAACCATCATTTTTTTTCAAGTTTATTATTACCACCAGGGTTTTGAATTGCTTACTTCTGGCAGTTAAATATCTACAGTAGCCATTTGAGAGAATAGCAAAAACACACATTTAGAGAAAACCTATTGGAAATCTTGACAGAAGTTCTTTGCTTTAGAGAAAATAATGTTTATATTCATCTAAACCACTGGTAAATGGGTTAAGTGAGCCACAGACAGCAAACTGAATGTACTGCCCGTATAAATCCTATGAAATGGGTTAATTCCCATATTGTGGGCATCCTGTGGGCTCACTGTGAGACTTAGCCTGTGCTTCAGGAGCTTTGCTTAACAGCTTCAAAGCACAGCTGATGGGGGAGATGCTGGCTGTGGTACTTGGGGTGGATAATTCCTCATTTCCCATCCGAGATCCTGCAGTGCCCCCCCGGTTGGGAATGGGGGGTGATGGAGTGGAAAGAGCATCCCTGGCCAGGCTGAGCCAGGGGACGGTCCCGGGCCACGTGCAGGCACGGGGAGCCAATGGCTGCTGGGGGCCTGGCAGGACAGGGCACCTCACCATCCATATTTCATTGGCTCCTCTCTCCCTGACCTCCAGGGCTGAGTCTGAGTGCCTTTGCTGCTGGGAGGGGATGGAGCTGCTGCGGGCTGGGTGGGCCGTGCAGCTCTGCCTTGGAATGGCACAGCAGCCTCACTGGTGTTCCTTATTCTGGAGCTGTCATTGCCCCCAGCCCCCTGGGAGCCTGGCACCATCATGGGTCTGCTCTCTGGCACATAGGGAAGCTGTGAGGGGCTCTGGTTTCCCTTCCATCCCCAGCTCTCACACCTCTCCCTTATGGAGAGCTCACCTCCTCCTTCCCACAGGGGAGCAACTAATCCAAGACCTGAGCAGAAGGTGTCTTTGGGTGTGTGGGGGAGGGCACTTTGCTGAGCTAGAGCATAAATCCTGGGTCTTCACAGCAGCAGCATTTTGGCAGCACTGCCAAGCTATCACAGACTATATTACATCTTTATCAGGCTCCCAATGCTCATTCCAGTGCTCATACCTTGATGCAGTGTCTGCCTGTGCTGACAGATGACTTTGTCTTAAATTGTTTTTTCCCTCCAGGTGTCCCAGTTTTTTTGGGTTTTTTTTATGTGTGCAAATTTTAGGTGGTTCAATTAAGTTGAAAGAATAAATCCTGCTCATTAGCAATAAAAGCCAAGCAGCTTTGTCCTGTAGAATTAACTTTGATCAGTAACACAGCTGATGTGATCTTTCATCAACACATCAACGTGTTCATTTACTAATAGTCATACTTTAGGGAGTATCTGAGAGAGTTAAAGCCCTAAAATATTCACTTAGTGAAGCTGGATATAAATACTTCAATTTCTAAACATTTCTTCCATTTCTTAATTTTTTTTTTCCTGTTGCTCCAAGTATTCCTTGCAAGGAGCAGAGCACTGCAGGTTGAGCCTTTCTCATGCTATAATTTACATTTTTCCTATTGGTTTTGCCTCCCCATTCTCCCTCTGCCAGCTGTGCTTAGTGGGATGGTGATCTCCCCTGGGACCTTAGGACAGGCATTGCTCCTGCTGTAGTGCCTTGGTTTCAAAGCAGTGGGAAGCGCAACAGAAGGATGTGCTGATGAAACAAAACCCCCAGAAATAACCAGCACCCAGGAAGAGAGCTGCCTCATCTGGAGGTGCTCGTGGGGAGTGAGGATTTGGGATGTCCAAGCTGTGAAAAGAGGAATATTTCATGCAGTGGGCAGGGCACACTGAGCACAGTGAGGGATGTGTGCCAAAGCCAGCACCTTGCTGGGGCCCTGATGGGGTTTATTCCTTCTTCCCATAGACAAGCCATGACTGGCTGGCCTTTCAAACCCCAAATTTAGCATCAATGAAATCTGTAAGTGTGGAGAGAGGTTGGATTTTCCCTCCCAAACCTTCTAATTGCTCTTATAAAATGGAGGTCAGCACGAGAGGGGTTTTGCTGTGGTCCCAAGCTGTAATCCTTGCAGGCAGTTTCTGTGGCTCCCAACACTTTGGTTTGGCTCAGGCAGAGGGGTTTTGCCTCTGCTCAAGTGCACCAGAAGGTCCTGCTTTGACTCTGCCCCGGGCTGCAGAGCCTCACAAGGACTTTGGACAAAAGAATGATTAATGTTTCTTAATTAAGCCATATTCAGTGAAATAGCATATTCTGCAATTCAATTTGTCTCTGGGGGTTCTTGTTTTGTGCAGCAATTTCTCTTCTGGTATTTTTTTTTTTATTTAATGGTTTTGTGACCCAGAAAATATGAGATTCTATTTTATGGCTGACTCTGATCTGTCTTGCTGGTGCTTTTATTCCCTCCTCAGGGAAATTTCTTTGTACAACTAAAATCTCTGTTCTTGCTCAAATTAATAGGGTTAGACCTGAAGAGATCATGAGAATATTTTACCTTTTCTGCCCATATTAATTTTTTTGGTAATCTATGGCCAACCTGTGCTAGTGGCCATTATTGGCAGGCACCTGTAATTTTCCAGCCTTTGCACAGGCCTTTTGCTATTAATTGCATTTTATTGGCAAGGTCAGCAGAGCAAAACAGCACAGCCCTGGAGAAGCATATGAGGGATGTAATTTAGGGATGCAGAAGTCATGCAAAACACAGGCAGGATGGCAGCTCAGCTCTGCAGGGGTGACAAAGTAGAAGTTATTGCAAAACAAAGATATGTGGCTTATTCAGAAGGGGGGGTTGAGGAACAGCCACCTACAAAGGACTCCAGATGCTGAAGATCCATGAGAGGATTTTTGTTAAGGGGTGTGACTGTGTGAAATTAAGTAATACATATGCATCAACTAAGTGGGGCTAGCTAATGAGTGTGTAATCAGTGTGTGTGGTTAAAAACTCAATTAGAGCAAGAGCCCTCCAAGTGACCAGCTGATTTCAGTGTTACTGGATAATTCCTCAGATGAGACTGGTGAAAAAAACTGCAGTTGTTTCTGTCCTCTTTCTCCCTGGCAAGTTCTACAGTGCTACACATTATTGCAATTTTTTTCCTTCTGAAATGGCCATTTGATTCCTCTCTGTGGGCTGCTCTCCATGCTGTAGTTTTAAGTCTAAATATAATCTCCTTCCCACGCAGGAGACTTGCTTTAAAAAAAATGTTGTAAATAATTTTTTTTCACAAGTGCAGAGCTGTGAAACTTTAAGAGATTCTATTGACTCCAGAGAAATTGTCTGGACTGGCTGCACGGCTGTGGGAATTTTTTTTAGTGTGTATTTTTCTGGTGTTGGATTCATGGTTTCAGCTTTCTTAAGTGAGGGAGATGCTGGAAGTGCTGAAAGCATTTCCACCAGTTATTCCAGTTATTCCGTCAGTAATTTGTGTTGCTCTGGGGGAAATGAGCTGAGTTTTGGGGAGGGTGAGCTCAGTAAAGCCCTGAACTTGAGGGTTGGAGCACTTGAACCTGCCCTGTGTGTGGGGCTGAGCAAAGGGCTTCACCCCATGCTGGACAACGCAGCTAACACATTTCTCTCTCTCTCTTTCAATTCTAGATTTTCAGAAGAGCTGACAAAAATGGTAAGTCTGTGCATTCATACTTCACATTTCTTGATTGGAATATTGTCAGTATTACTGTTTTTCCTGATAGTAACATCCAAGTGTTTAAATGTTGCTCAGTTTGCTGGGTCTGACACTGATCCACTCAAAGCATCAGAAAAGGTTTTGGGGTATTTTTGGAAAAGATATTCTTAGAGCAGAAGTGATCCTGGTATGCAAGTTGGCGTGGCAGAACCCACCAGATAAAGAGCAATTTCACAAAAACAATACAAAAATAAATCACAGGTAAGTGATAAATGAGGATCCACCCCTTAGTAAGCTTGGAGTAGCTTTGCAAAACAAACCTACCTTGTGAATATTTATAGTTTGGTTCCTGAGGGACTGGTCCATACATCAAAGAGCAGCACACATTGTGCCTGTGGAAAGCTGAACACCTGCACTGAGCCCAGCCAAGTCCTTGCATTTGGAATAACCTGGATGAGTCTTCATTAAATGACTTGGAAAGGGAGAACTGGAAAGATAACAAGCTTAAGGAAAGAAGAGTCAGTGGGCCCAGCCCCAGGATCTTTCCACACCCCAAAAATCAGTTTTATTTTAGATAAAATCCCAAGAGCTAGTGTCTATTCTTTCCCTGTTGTACAAGAAGAAAATTCAATGTGCATCAGAACTCTGTGTGTTTGCAGAGGGACTTGTGGGAGGGCTGTGCAGAGGAGCACAGGGGAGAGTTTGGTTGTTCTCCTCCAGCTTTGAAAGGGAGATGCCTGATTTCTGCTGGGGCTCATAGCTGGGTATCCTCACTGCCCCTGAGCAAGGAGGTGCTGCCAGCTGGCTCAAAATAAGAAGTAAATTCCATGGAACTCTGGGCACTTGGTAATGGCAACTGACAGAGTAATGAGATGCTGAAGTTTGCTGCTTAGAAAAGCTGAGCAATTGTGTGATACAAGGAGAGTGGAGAGTAAAAAATGAGTTTATGCTCTTGGCACCAGACTGTCTGACTTCAGAGATGGTGCTGGGAGGTATTTGAACTGCCAAGGGTGAGAAGGTCGATTGTCCTGCCTCTCCTGACCCTCAGTGCAGGGAGAGTGGCTGGATCTCTTAAGGAAGGCCAGGTGCTCTCTGGTGAAGGAGCTTCCTCCATCTCTGCTCCCACTCTTGTTGCCTGCAGTGCCCAGGACCTGCAGCTCCAGTGTTTGGGAGCACAGTGGGTGCCGTGCTCTCCATGGGATCAGTGCTGCCCTTCCCTTTTCATGGGCACAGCTGGCACAAAGCAGCTGGAGCTAAGTGGCACCTCTGTCCCCAGGCTGTCCCCTGCCAGGTGTCACTCTGGGGCTCGTGTCACTCTGGAGCAGGGACTGTCACCCTGGGGCAGTCCCCTCAAGGACTGTGCATCCTCCAGGGGTTCTCCTCACATTTATTTAGACGCTGCTTTTTCCTTGACACTTGCCAGCCATGGTGACCAGTGTCACCAGCCATTCATATTTGATGAACTCTGGATAACAGAGTTTGCCACTCATTATAATTAGCTCAGTGTGTTCCTCTGCAGCCTTTTGGGCTCACAGCTCCCCACTGCCCCTCTCCAGCCTCCTGCAGCTCACAGCAGCTGCTGCAGGAGATGTGCAAGAACATTTCCATTGGTACAGCCTCTCTGAAAACTAGGGCTCAGAGGTTTCCAGAGCCAGAGGTAATATCTTTGTATTTCGTATCCCTGGGGATCTCTTTTTCACAATTCTCTGTGACATTCTGGACTTTAATTTATTGATTTGTTGAAATTCAGCCTATTCAAGGCTTTGCCTGTTACAGCTCCAAGGAACAGTGGAAGCATCAGCCTGCTGCTTTTATGTCTCACAGCAGGTGCTGTGCACAGCCCTCTGAGGAAAAACGAAAATCTCACACTTTTTATTTTTGTCAGAATCCCAGGATGGGGCCCTGGGCCCTGGACAGACTGTTAAAAACAGAACTCCAAGAAGTGCACAGATTACCAAAATATTTTATTTCTGTGGTGTGCACAGAGCAGAGGTTCCTGTCTGGAACCCTCCCTGGCAGAGGCTTTGCTGTTCTGCTGAACCAGCTGAGATGGGTCATTATTCAGTGTGTGATGGGGGATACTGGGGAGAGCCCCCTTGGCAGGGAGGGCTGGCAGCTTCACCCAGAGCTGGCACCCCTTGCTTTCCTCAGCTGTGCCAAAGCCACTCTCACAGACCTGTGCAGGAACCCTGCAGAAATAGGGCAGGGGAAAATCTCAATAAAACTTCAGCTCTTGACATCTGGTTTAACTACAACATCTCATTCAACTTTTTCCATGCAGAGATCAGAGGGTTAGAGGCTTACCTAAAAGGCAAAGGAAAGGATTGTAAGATAAGGAGTAGTCTCATTTAATGTGCTGTCAAGAGGTCATAAATTTGGAAATCTTTTCAGCATCTTGATTTTTTTTTTCCCCCAGCCTGGTAAAAATGGTACATATTGTGTTAAAGCAGAGTGGCTGGCTCAGGCACGGTAACTATGGAGCCTGATAGCTTGAATTTAAGAGCATCTTCCTCCTCCCCCTTTCTTCCAAACCTTCTCACATAAATTGTTAATTCATGTAAAATTGGATGTTCTTGCTGCAAGATGCTAAACCATGTTATTTCCCCTGCCATGTTCAGGTACTTGTGTTTAGGTGATTTCATTCAGTGCCTGCATGTACTAAAAGGCTGCTAATGAAGCAGCTCCTGCTTGTTAAAAACATCTTGGTCTCCTGTTCCAGAGGAGTGAGATTCTGTCTATAACGTGAGCTAAGTTCTCAACCTTTTCCCCAGTGACAACATCAAGTAGTTTTGTAACTATCTACATGATAAACTCGAAAATGGTCTGCATGAGACACCTGGAAATGCTGAGCACATTGGAGATAACTGGATAAACTGACAAATGCTCTGAAAAAGGGAGAAGGGCTGGAGTGTAACCTGAGAGTGAATAACTCTGTTAGATCTAGTCATGCTTTGCAGGGGCATGGCTGTTAGTCATTCAAAATAATCTTTTTCTTTTGTGTAGGAGTGTTTTTCCTTTCTCTGCTAATAAATCCACCTACTGTCTTGTAATCCTCCCAGTCCCGGTAAACAATACTTAATCATTTAATTGGAATGTGCTGGGAAAAAGGAAGCATCTTGTTTTAGGCTGGAGCAGCAGAGCTGCCAATCATCTCAGTTATCTACTGTGTACTTAATCCTCTCATTAGAAAGCTGCTAATCAATTAAATAGCCCAGGATCCTCTTTGAAAGATTAAAAGAGTTTCATTTTGGCAGAACAGTCTAACTGCTAACAATCCATTATAGATAAGCATCTTCCCAAAAACCGATGCTTTATCTGGAAATCTCCAGCTCACAGCAACTACCCAGCCCCCATGCCTGGAGTGTAACTAAATGCAAAGTGCAGCCAGCTTGAATCTGCGCTTTACTTTGGTGGGGTTTGCTGTAATTATTAGTGCTTTATTTTGGTGGGGTTTGCTGTAATTATTAGTGCTTTATTTTGGTGGGATTTGCTGTAATTGTTAGTGCTTTATTTTGGTGGGGTTTGCTGTAATTATCAGATCCTGCTCATGGCAATGGGCACCAGTCTGACCCACCCACAGGTCTCACTTCCCAGGCAATGGAGCTTTAGGGAGTTTCCCTTCAACCTCTGCCCTGGAAGAGGAGAGATGCAAAAGGAAATATGCCAAAACCTTGGTTATAAAACTCCTACAGAAAATGGCAGAAGGATCTGGCAGTGGTGCAGTATTACACCTGATAGTGACCAGTGATGGGTTAGTACTGTGGTTCAGTCAACTTGGCATCTTCCTTGTGATTCCTGTACCAAGCCCAAGCCAAAACTGTTCTGGTTCTCCCTTCAAATTCCATCTAGAGAAGGATGGGAATGAAGCCATTCAGTGCACGCTGTCCTGAATAGCTCCTGTTATCAGAAATGAAATCCAATGAAGTGTGAAGAAATCCAGAGTACAAATGCTGAGAGGAGGTTTCAGCTTTCAGTGGTCTGAATGATCAGCTGAGGGCCTGCAGAGGACGTAGCAGAGCTAATAAAGGAGAAAAGGGAAGCATGAATGAAGCAGGAATTGGTGTTTGGAAAGGGCTTCTTGGTTAAGAGCCATGAGGGCAATGGCATTGTGCCCATTCCTATCCCAGTAGGGCTTGTCCTTTAAATAGCTGCTCACAGATTTCTGTTAGTCACTTAAGGGCTCATTAAATGAGATTTATGCTGCTATTCTGTGCAAGGAAAGGTCTGCACATCCCAGTGCTACAAGTCTCATAGCAAATTGCACTACAAGCCATGGGGGCACACAGAGAGCTCCTGACAAGAAGGGAACACAAATGGCTTTGCATTTGCACATCAGCATCACCACAAAGTGGCCAGGGAGCCTGGCCAGCTGTGAGGAGAGGGAGCTCTGCTGCCCACACATAAACTGGCACTGCTGCTCTGCCTGGCGGCTTTGTGCCCGTGGTGCCACTGCTGACCCCTGGCATGGGGACCTCGCAGGCTCCAAAAGCTGGAAAAAGGCAGAAAAACAAAACCAAGCAAATGAAAAGCCTCAGGCACTTCTCTCAGCCCCAGCTTGAGATGTTCAAGAGCTCAAGTTCTTCATAATGTTCAAGAAGGCATGTCCTAAGCGTCAGCTGAGTAGAAATCAGCCTTGTTAAACCAGTACAGAAAGGAAGAGAGTGAGGCTTCCCCCATGGATGGGATTTCTTGATGAAGGGATGGTGGTGGGACAGCAGGGAGAGTCCTGAGCCTTCAGCAGAGGGAGAAGGATGAATGAATCCAGGGGCTCTCAATTTCCAGCAATTTCCAGCCCTTCACAAAAGCTGTGTACCTGTCCTCGGTGTCGTGCTTGTGGGCAGGGACAGTTCCTCTGAGGACTTTGCAGATCGGGGGAATTTGCAGAGTGTTTAGTGGTAATAGCTCTCATAGTCTCACCCACCTTGTCCAGACCCCACTGGGAGAAGTAATTTTGATCCCCTCTAGTGAGCCTAAAGTAGGAAGAAATGTGTGTTTGT